CAATCAGAGCGAACCCTGGGCCTCCTACTTCTTTGAGTCACGTTTCTCCATATATCTGGCTCCTGTGTTGGTGAACTAGCCACCTTCTCAGGGGAGTCCCCTGTCTCTTCCTTGGTGGTGACGGTGTGCTCTGTTGCTTCCAAGAAGAGTTCCAGCTCTCTAATTCTTTGGAGCGTAGCTACACGTTCCTCCAGTTGCTGGACTTTGTCTTTTAAGAGGGCAATCAACATGCAATTGCTGCAGGTAAAGCTGCCTGCAACCTTTGGCAAGATGGCAAACATTGCGCAGGAACCACAGGCGACTGCAGCTGTTCCCTCACCCTCCATCTTGGGAACGTGTCGTTGGGGGTGACTACAGTGGTCCTCTATCATAAAAAGTGTGGAGACAGGACAAATAAATCCCTCCCAAAAAACCTAGGTCTCCCCCAACAAATGTTTGAGACTAGCTCCCCTAAATCTAAAATATGGATCAAACTGTGCCTAAACATGATCCACCTGGAGCAGGAACCGGCAAGCCACTCCAGTATCCCTGCCAAGAAAACTCCATGAACAAAAACAACAGGCCCATCATGACTAGTAACCATTAAAAGTCTTCTCCTCCACAAATTTGTCTAATTCTAAAGCCGTCCAAGGTGGTGGCTGCATTTTAACGAGTTGTGTGCTGCCATGAGAGCTTGTGGGCAGAGGAACAGGTTATAGATACTACTAATCAAGGAAATATTGGATGCCGAGAGCCGAGTGAAGAATTGTGATGGTCTTTTGAAGGCTCCACCTCGCACCCATCTGGCTAGCAATCTGCCAGGCTGCACTTTACGACATCTGATTTGCTGAGCACATGGCTCAACAGTTGCTTCATGCCTTAGAGATGGCAAACAGACCCAAGGCTCCCTACCCCCACAATTGCATTAAATCAAGATCGTTTCCTAAAGAGAGAGAGAGTGACTGACACCATTTGTTAAGAGAGAGAGAGAGACGTTATTCAGAACATTATCTGCTTCGTTCTGCAGGCACGGAAATGCATCCACTTTTAGACTTTTAAAAACTTCTGAACAGAGAGAGAGGGAGGGAGGGAGGGAAAATACCCCACGGCGATCTAAAGATTGCACATAAAACTATTAGTATTGAAAACTTAGCCAGCATGGCTTCAGTGAACTTCATTCATTAACATTCTTGCTGGCAAGGTCTCCATATCTCAGCGTTCATTTTATACTTTAATTTGGTTAGTTGGCCTTTGTTTAATCGTCCTATTCAAAAGGGAACAAAAGAGGTTTAGGTGATACAGAAGGGTAATGCACTATATTTTATCTCTCAAAAGCTCGGGCAAACTGGGGAGGTTCTGATACTCTCCAATTCTCTTTTCTCCCCAGGACATTTGGAATCACAAATCAGGCAGCGGATGATAAAGATCCCCACTGTACTTATTGGCAGACACCTTCCAGAGCGGAGGTTTTTTTTGGGGGGGGGAGAGGGAGAAGAGAAAGAAAACACTTTGTCACCCACAGAAATCATATTCTCAGCTCTACAGACTGTTCCAAAGGAAGATTATCTCTGCAAAAGAATGCCTGCGTTACACCTTCGGGTTAAGTGCCTCACGCTCAGCTCTGCACAAATGCCTCTCCATGGAAAAGTTGCGATGGAGAAGTTTGTGGCCTTCTCCCCGTGATCTTATGGTGGGTTCAGATGATCACTTTCCCCCCTTTGCAGCAGGAATGGGGAACCAGGTGGCATTGGAATCAGGGCATTTTGTCATCTAAGGCAAAGAACAAGAATGTGCTGCTTCCAGTTCCGTGGACAAAAGCAGCCCAGACTGGTAGCTCACCCTTCCTTTGACACTAGCGATGGGGCATTCTTCTGCAAATACACACCAGAGCAGCAGGCTAGTTTATGGGGTGTGAGACTGTTGGGGTGGCACCCAGAACTCTGCCCACCTCTCACCAGCTGCCTCACTCTGACAAGTGGAAGGGCCAGACCTTCCCACCAGCATGGCCAGTGACCATGGATTTCATTTTTATTTATTAAATTTGCATGCCGCCCTTCATCCGAAGATCACAGGGCGGTTCACAACAGGGGTATAGATAGTCCAATGGCTTCTAAAAGGGCCCCCGATTCCCCATGCAGCTTTTAAAAAAGGATTCGTGGCATGGAAAAAGCAAGGAGAGCAGAGGGTGGTAGCCAACAAAGTAGGGTCCAGTATAAACGGCCTCGGTCCAATATTCCTGAAGGAGCAAGTGCGTAGCTCGAGGATATTCCTGGGGATACCTTGGCCAATTGAGGCCCAAGTGTCCTCTGTAGCTACGAGTGCTTTTGACCAGCTGCATCTGGTTCACCAATTATGGCAGTTCCTGGGCAAGGTTAGGCTGATCACTGTAGTCCATGCGCTGGTAACCTTGAGGCTGGATTACTGTAACGTGCTCCACATGGGGCTGCCCTTGGGTGTGATTCGGAAGCTCCAGATGGTTGCTGATGGAGGCATCTGGTCAAAAATGTGTGACACCAATTTTTTAAAATTAGGAATTGTAGGTGCTGAAATTCCAAGGGAGCAGAAAAGACTTTTTATGTATGGAACAACAGCTGCACAGATATTGTCAGCCCAGAGATGGAAGGAAGACAAAGTCCCTACCAGAGAAGAATGGCAAATCAAGTTGGTGGACTATGCCGAAATGGCAAAACTGACCAGAAAACTCAGGAACCAGAAAGACCAAAACTTTAATAAGGAATGGGGAAAATTAATAATTTACCTTAAAGACCACTGTAAGCAGTTGAAAACATTAGCAGGACTGCAATAACGCTTGTAATGTAATGAGAAATATGGACATAGCGGAGTTAGAAAAAACATGAATTATTGAAAAAAGATGCAGTAGAAAAAGGTTTAATAACAGAATCTATGGAGGGGAAGGGACGCGGGTGGCGCTGTGGGTAAAACCTCAGCGCCTAGGACTTGCCGATCAGAAGGTCGGCGGTTCGAATCCCCGCGACGGGGTGAGCTCCCGTTGCTCGGTCTCTGTTCCTGCCCACCTAGCAGTTCGAAAGCACGTCAAAGTGCAAGTAGATAAATAGGTACCGCTGTATAGCGGGAAGGTAAACGGTGTTTCCGTGTGCTGCGCTGGTGCTGGCTCGCCGGAGCAGCTTCGTCACACTGGCCATGTGACCCGGAAGTGTCTGCGGACAGTGCTGGCTCCCGGCCTCTTAAGTGAGATGGACGCACAACCCTAGAGTCGGACACGACTGGCCCGTACGGGCAGGGGTACTTTTACCTTATGGAGGGGAAGGTGGGGAGTCCAGAGATTAGGAGGAATCTTTTAACTGTGGGTATGTTGTGGTGGGATTATAATTTTAAATATGTAAAACAAAAAAATATTTTTTTAAAAAGAAAATGTGTGACGCCATTGTTAAAACAGCTGCACACTTCCTACCGGGACGGGTTCGAGGTTCCAGATTTAATTTACAAAGCCCTGAAGAACTTAGGCCCAGGGTATTTTAGGGATCGCCTGAACCCTTATATCCCAGCTTGATCACTGAGATTACGTGCAGGAACATCACTGGTCATTTCCCAAGTTGGAAAGGCTCATTTGACAGCAAGAAGAACCCGAGTCTTTAGTGACATCAGCCCAGTCCTATGGACTACTCTGCCAACACAGATTCAGCAGGTGCCTTCTGTACTAACTTTCAAACAGCTGCTGAAAATTGTTCTAGTCCGCCAGGCCTGTACAGGCAATTAAGAAGACATGCTCCAAACAATGGTTAACCTGCATTCAACTTTTTACGGCTTTTATTGTATGGTTTTGTTTCACTGCTGTAAACCACTGATAGTATAGTGGCATACAAATAATACCGCTCAGTGTAACTTTCCTGCTAAACGTAACAAATGAATATATTTGCAAACGTTGCCATAAACATGTCCCCTTCCCAATGTTTGCTTGTGTCCAACGGAGGTGAAATTTTGCATCTGATTGGCATTTTGCCCCCTGAATTTACAGGTGTTGCCCCCGTGTATCTATTATTAGGGCCCTTGCACTCATCTGAGTTTGTTCTGCCAACCTAGCAGTTCGAAAGCACGCCAGTGCAAGTAGATAAATAGGTACTGCTGAGGCGGGAAGGTAAACGGCATTTCCATGAGCTCTGGCTTCCGTCACGGTGTCCCATTGCACCAGAAGCGGTTTAGTCATGCTGGCCACATGACCTAGAAAACTGTCTGTAGACAAACGCCGGCTCCCTTGACCTGAAAGCAAGGTGAGTGCCCAAACCTCATAGTTGCCTTTGAATGGACTGAACCGTCCAGGGGTCCTTTACTGGTTTTCTTTTTCCCATCTGAGTTTAAACCCTCTGCACCATTTGGGGGCCATACATTTGTTGAAATTTCTCCTTGGGCTGTATGCAAAGGTTCCCTTCCTGCAATGGAAGGGATTTTTTTCCAAAGAAAGGAATCCCTCCATCAGAAATAGGGGACCTACAGACCCAAAATCTGCACCTGGTGGTGTAGTGGTTAAGAGCTGTGGACTCGTAATCTGGTGAACCGGGTTTGCGTCTCTGCTCCTCCACATGCAGCTGCTGGGTGACCTTGGGCCAGTCACACTTCTCTGAAGTCTCTCAGCCTCACTCACCTCACAGAGTGTTTGTTGTGGGGGAGGAAGGGAAAGGAGAATGTTAGCCGCTTTGAGACTCCTTCGGGTAGTGATAAAGCGGGATATCAGATCCAAACTCTTCTTCTTCTCCTCCTCCTCCTCCTCCTCCTTCTTCTTATGACTGGGGCTACCCAGTCCTCGATTCTACCCACTTTTTGTGGCAGCCACAACCCTTTAAGCAACAAGAGGTGATGGTAATGGAGTCTGCCAACCAAAATGGGATTTATTTATTTACTTTTCATGATGGAGCTGAACCAATGCCAAGTGATATTGAATGCACCAAGATTCCCGACCCAGAGAGAAGCTAGATTCTTATAGAAAAACAACGCAGTTAAGTTATAAACATTCCCTTTTAAGTTTCCTTGAATGCAATGCAGGATTCACATTTTTTACAATAGTTTATTTACCTCTTCAAAAATGCAGCGAGATGTCCAGTAATGTTTACAAGTTTTATGGCAACCTTAGTTTTTCTGCTCTCCAACAACGGACACAGATAACATACACCTCATGTACACTCTGCATTTGCCTTTAAAAAAAAAAAAAAGGATCGATGTAAAAAGGCTCACAAAACAACTACAGCTCCAAAGGAGGAAAAGTTGTGGCTGCAATGCCGACTCAAGCAAATATGAATGCGGTCAAGCCTGATGACTTACACAACAATTTGGAAATAGGGAGTTGATCCCAGCTCAAAATTCTTTTGGTACAATTAAATTTGGTAAACTCTCCTTTTGTACAGCTGGTGAACTTTCTGGCATTTGGGCTTTATATACAGGAAACTGGCAGACCGTATTTGAAAACTGCAGGTGTCAACTTCTTTAAAGAGAGATGTGCGCTGTTTCTTTTTAAAGAGGCATGTGCTAATATGTCAGAGCTTGGGCAGCAGATGCCGTTCAGAGAGAAGCAGCACGCTGAAGGCCTCACGCACAGTGGATCCACCACAGCATGTGGCATTCAGCTTTCCAGGTTGGAGAGAAAGCTGAGAGGTTGCTGGAACAACCTCCTGGCATCGCAGGGCTGTGGGCAGATGGTTGGTAGCAACTGTACACTTTGATCTCTGTCCCCACCCACTGAAGGCAACCCTATAAAGATTGCAGATATAGGTGAAGGAGGTTGAGATAAGTAGTGGGGAGTCTTCACCCAGAGACACATTTCAAGCCATGCCTGTGGTGGTGACCCCTGATTTATTCTGGAAAATGAGGACCTGCACAATGACACATAAAGTTGGCTGGAAGAAGACCGGTCTTCCCCTGGGAAGCGTTGAAGGGAAAAGAGATGGACCTCCTCAGATCCTCAGTTTCTTCTTCATCCTAAACCGTATCTTCTGCATGCACCATTCTGTTCTTTCGCACCTCACTCTTTTGAACTGCGGTGGAGCTTTTGCGTGGCATTTACCCATTGCAAGTGTTGCATGTGTGCTTAAATGACCGTGTTCAAATGACCGTGTTTCCCAGAATATACAAGGAAGTGTTAGGCCCTGTCCTTTCGCAAGCATTGGCTCCAAGGTCACTGAAAGCATGCAGGCACCACTCAGAATTGTCAACACTGTGCATGCATTTTGCTGTTTAAACCCAAAGGTCATTCTCACATCTGCAAGTATCTTCAGGTACGGGAATAACCCAGAAGGTTGCATCTTTACAGCACACCTTGAGAAGCAGCACTGACAACTAGGTGCATCTGGGTAAGCATTTTCTAAGCTCCGCCCCATGCCCCATCAGTATATTATTGGGGAATTCCAGAAAATGCTACGCTGTACCTTAAAAATAATGAAAACCGTCTTGCTGCAATCTCTGAAAATAACAGAAGCTCCAGAGTATCTGCCTGAGGAAAAATCTGTTTATGCAAATAACTTGGACACGCCTGTGAAATGTGCAAGTGACAAAGAGGACAGAATGGGAGGGAGGAGGGGGCAAGAGTCTATATCACATTATTAGAGGCTCAAGGAGCGCAAAAACACACAAACACAAAAGAAGGAAGTTGGCCACCATAGAAACTTTCCCGTCTTTTAAAAAAATAGAAGTTATTTCACAAAAAGCTCAAGCATGTTTATTAAGGTTAGGTCTTAAAAATCAAGGAGGGGCAGGAGGAGGAGGAGCGAGAAGAAAAGAGGTTTGATATATTCTTGTCAGAAAAATATTTACCAGCAAGCTACCCCACCCTGTGTCTTTAATGATTATCTGGCTATGCGGAAGAGGGAGCTGCGGGAAAATCATCTAAGTGGCTCCCAAGGGACAGCCGCCCACATTTGGGAAGACTTTCCTGTTTCTGAAAGGACAGAACTCTAAAGAGGTGGAGGGGAAGCAGCTGGAAGAAGGGCAGCAATATGTACAAGTGTCAGCAAAGCCGTGGCCGATCAACACAGCTCTCTTTGGCCATAGACTCTCTTGGCTCTTCAGCCGGTGAGTTCGTGGCAGAGAATTCTTGATCTAGGCCAACACCGTTTGACGAAGGAGCGACAGAGAGGGAAGGACAAGCAGCCAGCTCAGGGCGGACAGTGTGCGTTTGTCCCCGATTCTCTCAAGAATCACACATCCTCAAAACTTGATGGCGACGAAAGGAGTCAGGGCTGAAGTGCTGCAGCGACAGTCTGATCGGTCTCCTCAGTGGCTTCAGTGTGCTCTGTGTTTCCCCTTCTTGTGTTTTTTATCTTTCTTTTTGCTGGCACACCTGGAGCAGAACCACTGCATTTCTTCCGGGGGAGCAGCCGTGATTCCGACGCAAAGCCTGCGTGTGGGAGAACACAAGAGGCAAATGTAAGAAAACGAACGAGGGTTCCCAATAAGTGAAACACCAGCTGTCGTTTTTAACTAGGGCTGCAAGCTCTACTCTTTTGCGATTAATCCTAGAATGGAAGAGTTGGACGGGACTCTTAGGGTCATCTACTGTAGTCCAAACCCTTGCAATGAAGGAATTGACAGAAGCTTGTTTTGCAGATCTGACCCAGTTATACTGTGGGAAGGGACCCTCTCACTAATCTAAAATGGGGGTCAGACAAATTAAATCACAGATAATCAAAAACCCAATGACATAAATAACTCCTGTTATTTAAAACCTCTGGGCACTGCATTATGCATTATTTTGCATATGATAAAGGGATGATATCTGGGTTCCATAATAACCATCTTAATTTCTCACATACACCTAATAACTCATGAACTATTATTCCTTTTCCTTTTAAACCCTTCTTGGCTATGAATAAAGTAAGATACTGAATGGGTAAAATTAAGGTCAGCCCAAGTTACTCCCTTATAAAAAAAAAGTTATTTAAATGGCACGGTGTCACTGTATTAATGTGTTAAGTTTATGGCACCTTGCTTGAATTGTAGTTTATGAGTAGTTCTGTAGCTGTCCTTTATAAGAACTAAGCTATATTCAAAATGTGTGCCTGCAACTAAATAATGTAATTTTCTCTAGGACATTATATTTTGGCAATTCAGACCCCAAATTCATTGGTTGTGTTGTGTTGCACTTCCCTCTCTCCCCTCAACCCACTCCCCAGAATTCACTTGAACTCCTTTAAAAATCCCACCCACTTTGGAGCAGCTGATACTCTTATTTTAGGATGATGCAGGTTAGTGAAAAAAACATTTCAGGTTTCTTTTGTACCCTTTGGGTGGATCAGTTATAACTCTAAATGCACAAGATGATTAAGAATATCAGTTAACTGATCCAGTCCCCCAACTTGTGGAGCGGGTCTAATTTTGCGGCTGGAAAAAAAACTCGTTAAGATTTGGCTAAGCGTAGAATTAAGTTCAGATAGCTTCATATCCCGACTTCAGTCCCGTGTGAAGGGAGTTCATTACTGCACATAGGGCAAACAGCCAGCACACAACTCTCGTCTTTGTCACTACTGACAATCTGGTCTCTTTAAAAAGTCAACCAGCAGTTGGTTGGGACATTGGAGCCATCACACTGTTGGCCTCTGCTGCCTCAGGAATGGCCGGATTCAAAAGCAGGTGAAAATATTGCCTGCTTCATATAAGGCATGGAAGATTGTAAAAGAGAGAGGTAGCCAAGTACAGATAAAAGTTATTCTCCAGCTTGACTTTAAGTGGCAGGCACTCACCAGTGGTACCAATCGTCACAGTCGTCGCAGCCTATCATCGCACTGCCGTCATCTGGCTTCTCGCAGCCGGGGCAGATCCAGATCTTGTTCCCCCATTCGTCTCGGATCTGGGATAAAAAGGCAGGGAAAAGTTGATGGCTTAGGGGTGTGTGTGTGTGTTTTTAAAGGCACTTCATGCAGCCAATTACTTCCCAAAGCTATTCAGTAGAGAGAAGATTATGTGCCACCACACTCTATTTACATAGACTCAATTTATGAATGTGTATACACACACACGGGACGCGGGTGGCGCTGTGGGTAAAACCTCAGTGCCTAGGGCTTGCCGATCGCATGGTCGGCGGTTCGAATCCCCGCGGCGGGGTGAGCTCCCGTCTTTCGGTCCCAGCTCCTGCCCACCTAGCAGTTCGAAAGCACCCCTAAGTGCAAGTAGATAAATAGGTACCGCTTTATAGCGGGAAGGTAACGGCGTTTCCGTGTGCTGCGCTGGTGCCGGCTCACCAGAGCAGCTTCGTCACGCTGGCCACGTGACAGGGAAGTGTCTGCGGACAGCGCTGGCCCCCGGTCTCTTGAGTGAGATGGGCGCACAACCCTAGAGTCGGACACGACTGGCCCGTATGGGCAGGGGTACCTTTACCTTTACCTTATACACACACACACACACCCCTCCCCTAGAAACTGTTTCTATATATACATATGCCTGTTGTTTTTGTCCATGGAATTTTCTTGGTGGGGATACTAGAGTGGCTTGCCAGTTCCTGCTCCAGATTGAGGTCACAAGGAGAAGGGGACGACAGAGGACAAGATGGTTGGACAGCGTTTTCGAAGCTACAAACATGAGTCTGACCAAACTGTGGGAGGCAGTGGAAGACAGGAGTGCTCTGGCATGCTCTGGCCCATGGGGTCACGAAGAGTCGGACATGACTAAATGACTAAACAACAATATATACATATACATAATGGCTTTGCACTTCCATATGACTCAGGAAGCTGAAATCTGGTACCCGTGCAGACCTCCTGAATACTAGAAAGTACCCCAAAATAGTTGCAGTATTTCCATGTCACTTCCAGGAAGGTAGAAACCCAGTGCACACGCAGCCCAAGATATCCTGATTATTAGAAGTCTAAAAATGGGACTTTCACTTCCCAAATCTAATGGTAGAAACGTGTGATGTGCCATTTTGTCTCATAATCCAGGCCAGCAGAGACTGCTAAGCTGACCACGAGATGTAATGAATGCTGTGCAGGGGGACATTGCCTTTTCACACACAAGAAAGAGAAAGAAGGTCTTGTGGAGGAACTTCTGTAAGTCAGGGAGTGGCTCTTCTTTACCCATAAAAGATCACGACCCATATATGCCCGCATCTCGCATCTCTGCCTGCGTGTCGATATGTGTGCAAAATATTTCTGACTAGTGGGTGGGGTAGAGGCACCACTAACTGTTTTGGGGTATAGCTTTGATATTTGCTTGCCGCAGTGAATGAAAAAAAATCTCCATTTGTTTATTCCAGTGGTTCAAGCGCTGCACAAACTGCAGAAGACAATCTTGATGACGTGTCCCTAATATATACAGTCTGGGGTGCAGGTATTGCTGTGTTATTACTTATTAGCCAAACTCTTCCAGCTCAACTAACTGATAAGATCAAGGGTATAAAAATTGTTACTGAGTAACTTTCCATTCCTTTGACATTTGTGCCGTGGCTCCGTTTACTGAAGGGTAAATGGAAAAAAGAGAGAGAGAGACCTAGAAGGTTTACAGCATTCAGAAACAGGCTGGTGGAATCTGCCTATTCCATTCAATATGGAAGCATATTCAGAATATGACAAAATAACAACGTTTCCAGCCATGCCGTACATTGCAGCTGTCTCCATAGCAAGCTGCTTCCAGTAATGTCTATAGCATGTGTAATTTCTATAGCACGTACAACGAGCTTCTCATGTCATCGCTCTTTAAAAGTTTGTTTTTACAAAATAAATAAAATAAATAAAGCTCTATAAAGATAAATCTGATAAATGAAATTATAGGGTAAGTTTACAAAACAGTTGACAAAGCAAGTATTAACTGAATAAATATCTGATAGAAATCATGAAATTCGCTCCTTTTTAGACTTAGATGACTTCATAATTTATGTGAAAAGCTTCACGTGTGAGAAAGGATACAGATAATTATGAACACACGCAGAGATCTGTGTCGTCCTTTTTGCTACACAGCCAACCCTTCCTCGTGGCTGCTTTATTTTATAACTTGGGGGGGGGGTTAAAATGCTTCTATGGATGCAAATGCAAAAGGTGTTGAGTGCTCTCACTGGAAAAAGAAAGCCCCACGGCTTGGGTCTCTGAGTGCTGGACTAGGGGCTGGAGAGACACGAATTTAAATCCACACTCCTACGCAAAGATTGATGGGTGACCTTGGGCTAGCGGCTCACCTCTCACCCTACCCCGAACCGCAGAGTTGCTGTGGAAGTAAAAAGGGGACAGAATCAAGTGGGCTGTCTCCAGTTCCTTAGAGGAAAGGCAGGATGTAAACGTAAGAACAGGAAGCGACCACTATGTCTGCCTTAGGTCTGTACCAGGAAGCTTTTATTGTCCGATGTGTTGTTGTTGTTGTTAACAGCCTGCTGGAAGCCACCCAGTTGGATGGGCGAGGTACAAGTAATAAATTATTCTTATTCTTATTCTAGGTCTGGTCAGTGCCCAGATGGGAGACCCCAATGCACGACACCTTGGGCTCTACGATGGAAAGGAGGAAAGGCATAAAGAAGAAGAAGAAGAGTTTGGATTTGATATCCCGCCTTTCACTCCCCTTCAGGAGTCTCAAAGCGGCTAACATTCTCGTTTCCCTTCCTCCCTCACAACAAACACTCTGTGAGGTGAGTGGGGCTGAGAGACTTCAGAGAAGTGTGACTGGCCCAAGGTCGCCCAGCAGCTGCATGTGGAGGAGCGGAGACGCGAACCCGGTTCCCCAGATTACGAGACTACCGCTCTTAACCACTACACCACACTGGCTCTCCATAAAATAAATAAAATAAAATAAAACGAACGACTGAATGACTGAACCCTTGCATGAAATCAAGTTGCCTTATATACTGAAGTAGGCGACTGGTGATTCTAGTGCAGCGATGGAGTGCCTCCAAGTCCCATCAGCCCTAGCTAGCATGCCTAATGATCAGAGGATGGTGAGAGTTGCAGGTCCATAGATCCCCCATCCGTGATCTAGCCCAATATTGTTTCCTCCAACTGGAACGGCATAATACCTTCCTTCTCCTTCTTCCTCAGAGCCTTTTACCTGGGATTGTGCAGCCTCTACCTTCAGCCTATGGTCCCTCCTCAACCAATATCCATCTTAAGGAACTTTGATTGTATGGAATGGGTACCCACGATGAGTTTTCTCCAAGGCAAAAGGTCCCGCGGTGAAGCATATTACTGGATCACGTGCAGAAATTACACTGCAGTTTGCTAGCGAAGGAGGAAAGCCTCACATGCTGGAAAGCATAAAACTGCAGGCGCAGAATGACTGCAGTCCACAGGAGTGCCGGGGAAGTGTCTAACCTGCTTGGCCAGTTGTGTTACGGAAACACTGGGTAAAATGGGCCTTTCTGGCCAAAGGCAAACAAGGATCAATTACAAGCAACTGATTTGCAAGGTTTTCCTTCCTGCTTCACAGACTTAGAAAGTGGGCCTTGAGTCCCTCTACCGTAGTTCTCACCGACGGAGATGGTGGCTTTGTGATTAAGATGTGAACTGGAGCTAAATCCCTACCTCAGACTTCCTTGTTTGGCCAGAAGATCAGTAACTCCGCCTGTGGTTCAGTTGTTCACCTGTGACATGGGGAGGGAACTTCCTTTCTCTTTCAAACTCCTATTTTCTATTTCCTTTCTCTCTGAATCTCCTTGCCTAGACCTCATTTTGAGGTCTGATATTTTCTGAGCCAGATTTATATGGCACCCAGCAAAAAGAGCTGTGGTCGTTTGCTAAAACCTCATGAAATCCTAAAAGTCACGCATTTCGTTTTATGGATTGCTTAAGTCTTTAGTATTTCTGCTGTGTGTGTTGTGTGTTTAAGTGATGCGTTTATGTGTTTCTAAGTTGGAACCAGAGCAGGTTAGCTGCACTTAAGTCCTACTGAAACCAATGTGAAAAGTTATTCATAACTAACATATCTTCAATGGGTGCAACTAGCTTGCCCTGGCTCTAATCCTGAGTGTATAACCCGGAGGGCTAAACATTTGTTCTTAAACACATCACAGCAATTATGTTTACATGTGAAATGTGAATATTACGCAAACACAGGCAGTCAATCAGGACTCCCAGCACAAGCCTACTCTGTTTAGAGCTACAGGTCTGCTTTTCACCCTTTATGTGCTTATTATGAGAAATGCCAATGATTGCTGCAAAAAGAGAGTGAGAGAGTATGGTGCTAAAAGCTGGAAATGCAAAGATCTGAATTCTCTTACAGGTATTTAAAAGAGCAAAGTAATAAAAAATGAGATCCCACAAGCCTTGCATTACTTCAAAGTTCATAACTATGAAAAGGATTTCACAATCAAACAGGTGCATTAATATTTTGGGCATATAAATCTCCATCCTCTGTCATACAGTTGTGTACTTTTCCTTGTTTATATCTGCTCTACCATTCAGTTTTAAATGACACACACATGTAGGTTTATACACAAGCATGCATATAGACATCTGATAAATGTCCAAATCTGTGAATGATCATATCTGCTACGAGTTCTTAAGGTTTTTAAGGAGGCAGGTGCCAAGTGCCAAAAACCTGGATATTCACTGGTTATTTCAAAGCCAACAAAGTGCCTCTGGTATATAAGCAGATTTAATTTCTGCCATAACTGTCACTGACTGAAGGGCAGGTGTAAATGCTGAAAACAATCAAAGCCTGAACATGTAGGTCTCGTAACAAATAAGTTAAATTTAGCACAGGCTATTTGAGTTCAGTTTGCTATAAAAATTAATAGCTCCTAAGTCTCATTTTCACAACTATTTATGTGATATTGAAATGATTTGTTGGAAACAGGTGGACTTATGGTCATGCTACCAAAGAGTCCCCCAACTGGAATAATAATAATAATAATAGTAATGTAATAATAATGATAATAATGATAATAATAAAAACAAAACAAAAATTCCTTCCAGTAGCACCTTAAAGACCAACTAAGTTCGTTCTTGGTATGAGCTTTCGTGTGCATGCACACTTCTTCAGATACACTGAAACAGAAGTTGCCAGATCCTTCTATATAGTGAGAAGGTGGGGAGGGGTATTACTCAGAAGGGTGGTGGGAATGGGTGATTGGCAGATAGCTGTGATGAGCCTGTTGACGGCTCTTAACGACTGCAATAGGTCTTACAGGAAAAAGCAAGGGGTGAGAAGGTGAAAAATGGCTTCATTAAACACCTTTAGGAGCCCAGAGAATATGTTCCTCTTCAACCAGGCCTTTGGTTGATTGACATCCGGTGCCATATATATATATTTATGGCATTATTATTATCATTATTATCATCATCATTATTATCATTTACAGATAGGTAGCCGTGTTGGTCTGCTTTAATGAAGGCGCCTGGTGAGCCCCCCTGGGGAGAGCATTCTGAAAGAGGGAAATCGACGCGCATTTTATACTGAAAAGCATCCATGTACATACCACGTAATTACTGACAGTCTCTGTCACCACACTCCTAACGGGACCCTTGGAGCCTCCCACAGCAGGCATTGCAGGAGACGGTGGTGGAATCGCAGCTGGGGAAATGATAGCAGGAGGCATAGGAAGAACCACCGGAGGAGGAGGCGGCGTCACGTGGACAGGAGCTGGTGCCGGGGATGGTGGAGGCGGTGGCGTCTTGGGCCGAGCCATGACCGATGGTTTAGCCTCCGGTGCCGACACCACTTTGCTGATGACGCTGTTGGACAAAAGGGGGGAAAAGAACGGATGTAACAGTGCACTACGATGATGCCCAGAAAAAAAAAAAAAACAGAGGGAAACCTGCCACAGATTTTTATCAAGGCACGATAGCCCTTGAATAGTTTTCCTTCCCATTCATGAACCATATAGTGCTAAAACCAAATTTTGAAAATTTGGTTGCTTAAATCTTGCTGATTTTTTAAACTGCATTTTATTGCTTTTTCTCACTGCTTTGAGGGTCTTTTTGAATGGAAAAGCTGCTCCTAAAACAGGGGGACAGGCTGGAAAACTCACTCTTGGTTCTCTATATCCAAATGTCCCCAAAGTCACATGATAAATAAAATTTGAAAAATCTGCATTATGGCTTCCATCAGATGACTATGAAAGCAGCCATCTCTGTTTAGGATCAATAATGTATATATGCAATATATAATCAGCACCCAGATATTAATTGCTGCCTTTGCTAGAATCCATCACAGGGTGTTGTTATGGTAAATACATGCTAGAAGTTAAAGCACTGCGCTGGCAAAGGATTGAGGCAATCAATATTTATTTATAGACAACTGTTTCCTACACAGCAACAGGCAGACAAGTTAACAAATGGAAGAGAAAACCACAACTGATGAGGGAGAGGAGAGAACCCACAAGATTAGTCTAGGGTGGAGCTTACAGAACCAGCAGCCTATGGACAAAGGCCATATCAAAAGATTACAATTGAACAGTCAACTTGTTTAGCTGATCAGAATGAACTTATGTCAAGAACCCAATCCTGTCTCGATTCCGAAAGCTTAGCTAGCAGGGCAACGATGCTGATTTTGCAACGTTTGCCTACGAACGGAAAGAAAAAGATCCCAAGCATGAACTGAAGGAAGACAGGAAGCAAATTGGAATTGCCATTTCACATACAAACCAGCATTTCCAGTCAACATGGGTTGCCCAAAAGACAAGTAAATAACAGATTATTTCCAGCTAAATTAGATTAATGGGCCTAAGTCATGCCTATCAATGTCAATGGGTCTAATAGCATTTGATACATCCCAATATCAATAAATACTACTACTAGTAATAGCTGTGCATAAAAATAGCAGAGGATATGCTGAAATAACTCAACTTTGGATTTTCAATATGACTCAAAATCCCACTTTTGTTTTGCGAGGAAGTAAACAGAACAATGCCTACCAACGTACATGGAATATTTTCATTAAAAGGGGATAAGGGATCCTTTAATGACACAACTAACTCTTGCTGACAACACTACACTGCAGCTATTCTGTGCGGCTTAAAGTACAGTGGGGCTAAAAGCTTCAGCCATAGACCTGCATCCAGGAATTTTTTTTATTATTTATTAAATTTGAATACCGCCCTTCATCTGACGATCACAGGGTGGTTCACAGCATAAAAATTCAAAATGAGAACACGAAATGTATAATAAAACAAGAACAAACCCATCGCCCCCTACCCACAAACATATTTAAAAGCCATGGAATGTTAGATCAGCCAAAGGCCTGGTTATAGAGAAATGTTTTCGCCTGTCATCTAAAGGTATAAAGATGGTTGCCCAGCTCTGGCATTTGCCCACCACAAAAAGCTGTGGTTATGCTGCTGTCAAGTTTTGGAAGCAGAAGGCATTTTGTGCTCCCCGCTGCCCTGCTGAAACAGCAGCAGCAACAAACACAAGAGATCTGCAAATTCTAGGCTGAGGAGGAAGAGTGTAATTCACAGGTATGAACAATTCTAGAACAAGCAAAGAGAAAGAGGCGGACTTTTCTCAATGTGGAATGCCTTCTCCAAAAAAGCTCGAATGGAGACCATCATCTTTGGTAGACAAGACAGCATGACTCCCTTTGGGTGGGGGGAAGTGGAGATTCCAAGCTGTACTCTTATTAAGAGCGTGTGAGAGCGTCAGAGTTGGTTGCTATGATGTGCCTAACTCGAGAGGGAAAGCGGGATATAAATTATATAGACAGATAAATTAGCAATTAGGAAGATATAGAAGAGACAGAGGAGATGCCAAATCAGGTATGACACAGAGCAAATTGCATTTAACGCCTATCCTATCCTTCTGGGATTCCTGGTGTCTATAGTGAACTTCATGCTCAAGGTCCAAGATTGATCCTCAGCACCTGCTAAGTCTGAATAGAGTACAGAAATACATTTTGAACAGTCATTAGTATGCATGCTAGTTGGCTGTGCAGGACGTTTTTGGCCTTGATAATATAACTTGCACGCAACAGTCTGGAGAACAGTGAAACAGGGTGCTGCATCTGATGTGGAAGACCGTCATGCAGTACTCACTTACGAAACCAAATGAGTGGATGGAGATTGGGCAATTCAACCTAATGCAATCTACAAAGCTGCCTGATAGGATATATGAAGGTAAGATTTCAGTGTAATCTGCTTGAGCTGTTGGGTACAGAAAGATCTAAATATGTATGGGGGAAAGGTAGAAGCCCAGCTTGGGCTTAATCACGTCTTGGTTACAGAAATACATAGTCAGGTGTCATAATGAACGCAACTTACAAAACTGATAATGCTAAGTGGTGATCAATCAATATTACAACTGTGTGAAAGAGTTCTGCAGCATATGCCAATGTACTTGATGTGCGCAACTGAGTGCATATGTTATGTATCTACACCAGCCTCCCTCAGCCATCCAAAGGTCTCCTGCTGCCTGAAACAGCTCCACCCATCTTCCCATGCTGCTCCTTCTGCCTGTACCTGATTCTCAAAATGCCTCTGGTCAACCACCTGCCTCAACTCCTTCAAGCCTCTCCTCAAAACTCACATTTCCAGGATGATTGTAGATTGTCCCCTTGGTCTCTATGACATTGTGACTAAGCCATATAACTGACATGATCACACAGGGTGGTAGTCAACGCTAGTCCTCCTCAGAGAAGACCCACTGACGTTAAAAGGGCATGGATAACTTAGGTTCATTCATTTTAGTGTGTCTACTTTGAGGAGGATAAGGGACGCGGGTGGCGCTGTGGGTTAAAGCCTCAGTGCCTAGGACTTGCCGATCGAAAGGTTGGTGGTTCGAATCCCCGCGGCGGGGTGCGCTCCCGTCGTTCGGTCCCAGCGCCTGCCAACCTAGCAGTTCGAAAGCACCCCCGGGTGCAAGTAGATAAATAGGGACCGCTCTGGCGGGAAGGTAAACGGCGTTCCGTGTGTGCTGCGCTGGCTCGCCAGATGCAGCTTTGTCACGCTGGCCACGTGACCCGGAAGTGTCTGCGGACAGCGCTGGCTCCCGGCCTATAGAGTGAGATGAGCGCACAACCCTAGAGTCTGGCAAGACTGGCCCGTACGGGCAGGGGTACCTTTACCTTTACTTTGAGGAGGGCTTTGCTGAACACCCTTTCCCCCCATTGTATCACTCTGTCTATTTTAGACTGAAAGCTCCTTAGGAATTAGGGATTGCTGCCTGCTGTTTGTAAAGTGCAAATGCATATAAACAAATAATATTTGCACCAAACTGCTTCTAACACTCAGCCGTGGGCAAATTCAGTTGAAAACAATGCAGTGGAGATGGTTAGAACCTGCACTCCGATGTGCAGTGTTGATTAAGTGTCAGCACTGCATTGTTTGCAAGTGACTGTGTGCTTGGAGGTGCATCTGAGTGCACACCATGCCCTAAATTATCTGCAGAGCAGATTAATTTGCACGCATGGAAGTGAACCCAATTTGCCTTTTAGAACACAAACGAGGTGAAATAATTCCAGGAAGGTGCATGTTCTTTGAGGCCCATTCCTCCCCACCCCAGATCCGAAAGATGGCAAGGAATCTTTCCCACCTTGCAGTTTAAAGGAGCTTATTAATGGAGGCATGTGGGCTGGATGGGTGCACACCTGAGGCTGCACCTGCTTCCAGCCCAATCCCTCCCTCTCCATAGTGCAGGTACCAGGCTAAACGTAAGCAAGTAGCACCCAGTTTGCTTCCCTGTAGTCTGTTAAGCTCCCAACTCAGCCAACAAGAGAACTTGAACCTCCTTGCTCTTTGCCGGAAGAGTTCTTTGGCAGCAGGAAGGCAACATGCATGCACAGCTTTCGGTCTTAGTCACTTTTCTGGGGTGTGGTGGAAGTCAAGGGGTTCTATGACATTTTCCTGCACACCTGCTCACTTCTCCCCATGTGCAGGGACCTACTTCTGCACTCTCCCATGCCCAACTTTTGATTTGCATGTCCGCAAGGTTCAAATCCCAATTTGACTAACAGGGAAGTGATTGACTGGCTCTGTTTGAAGTGCAGGCTTCAAACGTGTGTACAACAACAGGCCTGGCCTGTTTATCTCAGGTATCACATCCAAGATCTGCGCTACGAAGAGCACCCCATGCAGCCTGGCCACCACTCCCTTCAGCTAATGAAGCTCTGGCACAGCAGGCAGAGAAATGGTTTTGGCTTACGCCATTTGATTGTGATGGGGCAATCTCAGAGGGGGATGGTGACTCTCGTCATCCTATTGAAGGCAGAGGATGTGAGTGTGGCAACATGCAGGAGGAGACAGAGCCAAGTCTAATGATGATAAATAAGGTTCCTTTGATCAAGCCTTGAGTGCCATGGGACTGAGCCACCCTGGGGCTCCCTGACAGATGACCTCGCTCCTGCTTCTTGATCTATCTGCAGTTTTTCGATGCCATTGACCATGGCATCCTCCTGGCTCAGGCCCGTGGAATGGTATTTGGGGCACTGCGTTACACCAGATTTGGTCCTACCTGCAGGACAGAGTCCAAAAATGCAGAATTGGGAGAGTGCTTTTCAGCCCCCTGGCAGTTACGCCATGGGGTGCTGTGGGGTGCTATGTTATACCCAGTGCTATTTAATATTTGCATGAAGCCAGGGGGAAAAATCATTAGAAGCTTTATGGCAAGGTGCAATCCGTGTGCAGACGACACTTGGCTCTGTTCCTCCATAACACCTGAATCAGGAGAGGCCATGCAGGGCCTGGACTGGTGCACAGATGCAGTGGTGAGATGGAAGAAAGGAAAATAAGCTGATCTAGGAT